CTATGGTCCCAGCTACTTGGGAGGCTGAGGCAGGAGACTTGCTTGAGCTTAGGAGTTGGAGGTTGCTGTGAGCTGTGATGTCACAGCACTCTACCCAGGGGGACAGCTTGAGGCTCCTGTCTCAAAAAAAAAAAGAGAGAGAAATTAGCTGGGCATTGTAGTGGGTACCTGTAGTCCCAGCTACTTGGGAGGCTGAGGCAAGAGGATTGCTTGAGCCCAGGAGTTTAAGGTTGCTGTGAGCTAGGTTGGTGCCACAGTACTCTAGCCTGGGTGACAGAGTGAGATGTTTCAAAGAAAAAAAAAAAAAAGAATAAATGAAAACAAGCTGGTTGTAAAGGGGTGTGCCCCATTTTATGATTCAAAGGCACATATGTGAATAGCTATAAATATGCTTCACAATGTTTGGAAAATATGCATCAAAACTTTAGCAGCAGATAATTCTCAGAAGTGAAATTCTTTTCCTTTGTACTTGCCATTTTTTCTTTGATGAATGACTCTTATTTGAATAACAAAAGTGTTTCTAAAAATGGCAAGTGTGTTTAGAAAAAGCGAATCCATGTGTGACTGGGAACACAGAAGCCAAACACGTACCAGGATCTCCCGGAGCTCTTCCTCTCGCTGCTGCTTCTCTTTGAGCAGCTGCTGGAGCAGGGAGCTGAGGGCCCAGCGCTGCTCTGAGATCATCTCCTGCAACACAAGATCATCCCCAACGTGCCATGAGCTCATAGCACGCCAGGAGTCCCTGCAGTGGGTGCAGGGTGGAGAAGGGCTTGGTCTAGGATCTTCCACTCACTCCGTTCTCAGCTGGGAGCTCAGTTCGAGGCTCTGTCCGATGCCTCTGGCCTGAAGTGAGCTAAGAGGCCCCTCTACCCTCCTTCTCCTAGGCCTGCAGTTCCATTCTTTGTAGGGTTAAGGTTAGGCATGGATGATTCTAGTGACTGATGACAATGGAATGGTAAGAAACATTAAACAAAAGAAATGACAAGCCATGGGTCTTGCCCGTGGGCAGAAGCAAATGGCCAGGAGGGCAGGTGTGAAATGAGGAAGGCTCTACATAAACGTAGGTGCATGTAAACTGGAGCCCATGCACGTCCCTGTTCCACGCCTGCGCTTATTCTCAAAAACCCTGCGGAGGCCCTGACAACCCCAACAGGCAGAGACAAGGGCCCTGCCCAAGTGCTATGGCTGTGGCTTCTCTGCAAACAGCTCCAAGCCTCTCATCTCTGAAGACCACTCTGAGGGTCACAAAGGATTTTCCCTGTGCTAGCTCCCCCTCTTTTGATGGCCCTGGATGGACACAGGCTGGGCCTGCATGATGACTTCATCTTACAGAGGAGAAAAGGGAGGCCTGGAAGGACCGTGACCTGCCCAAGGGCACACAGCACACCGTGGCAGACCCCAGCAAGCTCACTGCACTGAGAAGCCTGGAAGACAACAGGAAACCTCTCCACTAAGAACAGACACAGGACAGTGACAGATGGAAGGCTGTGCTCAAACACCTAGCATAGGTGCATGTCCTCACATACCATTCCTTCCAGCCCTTGTGTGCACCCGGGGAGACTAAGGTCCAGAGAGGGATCCCCACACCCACTAAGGTTGCACAGAAGGTCCCAGATGGAACACAGTCTGCCAGGGCTTGCTGCCTGGGCTGGAGCTCACCAAGATGTTGCCTGAAGGGAGGACACAGAAACAGGTGGCCCTCACTTCCAGACATCCTGGGGACACCAAAAAGCTTGTTTCCAGATGTTACTCAGGGAGCCCCACAGCCCTGAAGCATGGCTTGAAAAGACAGGGAGCTCAGCAGTGACCCCGCTCCCAAAAAAGGAAATGCAGAGATGGAGATGGAGGTAGGGGTGAGCCTCGGCAATGAAACTTTCCTTCCTCTGACCCTCCTGCCTGGCAACATGCTACCCAACAGCTAATCTTGGCCTGTGCTTGGCCTTCTGGGCCTGGGGAACTTTTTCCAGTATCCCAGCCACAGAGGAGCCCTGCCCTCTGTCTTCTGGAGAAGCTCCCATGCCCGGGACTGATGGGCAGCTGCCAAAGGGTTGGAGGGCACCAGGAAGGTATCCTGCCACAGAGGGGAGGGGAAGGGTGAGCAGGCCTGGGAGCCCTACATACCTGTAGTGTCTCTGTGTCCAGGGATTTCCTCTTTAACTCCAACTGTGTCAGCTGCAATAACTCAGTTTCTATTAACTTAATCTAAACAGAAGACGAAACAGGGGATGTTTTTATTCATGTTAACCATGGTTTTGTGCCACTACTCTCTGCTGGCCACATGGGCTCCAAGAAACCTTTCTGGGGGAGGCTCTGGAATGAGGGGAACCTGCAGGCCCTGGGAACCTCTGCAAGGGGGTTAAGAAGAGTCAGTCATCTCATGGCTCTGAATGCCCTGGGGCATGGACATGCTTGCCTTGACCAATGCCGCTGACTAGGAGAGTCTGGGGTAGGGTGTGTGGAACAAGGAAGGGGGCCAGAACAAATGACAGACACAGAATTATCTCTGAGTCTCTCACTGGTCATAGTTGCCTCAGGGAGGACAGATAGTGATGGAAATGAGTAGTAACGATGGTCCCGGAGCTGCTGAGTACGGAGCACCTGCGTGTGTTAGGCCTGCGCTGTGCATTTTCCATGCACCATTTCTTTAGTACTCTTCTGGCTGTTAGGAGGTATTATTGCCTCCACTTTATAGACATGAAAACTGAGGCTCAGAGAGGTTAAGCAACTTGCCGGAGGACACAGAGCAGATGAGTGAGAGAGCCCTTCCTCTGGGATGTCCCTGCTCAGGGTCTGAAGGGGATCAGCTGGCCTGGTGGGTCAAAACCACTCACAGTGAGAACTGTCTGGGGATCACCACACACTCTCCAGGCTGCCTCTGGGGGGTTTTAGTCCTGGAAGTCAGATCCCACAGTCAGTGACTTCTACCCTTTGCTCATGACCCTATGACCTTCGTCCCTAGTCCCTATGACCCCACTAACCCCTGGTCAGAGGAATGAGCTTCATGTCTGGCAATGGGAGATTCAAATCAAAGAGGGAAATAAAAGGTAAGTTGGTTTTGGTTAAAAAAAAAAAAAGGAAAGAAAGAAAAAGAAAAGAAGAGAAAGAAAAAAACCATATGAAATGTGAAATTCAAAGTGTGCTGAATATGATGAGAGGCATGTTCCCATGACCTGAAGCTCCTTCATCCCCTGGTCCCACTGACAGGCACAGCCACCCTGCAGATCAGCAGAGGAGCCTGGACAGGAGCTTGAGCCCTTCCTCTGGGTCGAAGCGCTTCCTTAGCCAGCCTTGGGGCCCACAGAGGCCCATGGCCCACCTGCCCCTGGTTGGGAAATCCAGTTGCCCAGAGATGTCTCAGTCAGTCTTCGCTGATGAGGCTCTAGGATCTGTGCAGGCTGCTCTGCCCCACGAGGGGGTCCTGCCTGAAGCACAGGCAGCATACGGCTGCCCCAGCAGTCAAGGCTGCACATCAGTGCTGCCCTTCCTGGCCCAGGCCTTGTGGAGACTTGGCTGCATTTGTTGGCAACGCTCTGGACAAATGCCCCCAGTGAACCCCTGGCGGAGGTCTGTGTATCTGCTTGCCAAGCTGACAGGCTGAGGGGCTGGGATTCACACTGCAATTGCTGCCCCTGTGGTCCTGCTGAGCCACTCTGCAAGTCTCCGAGCAATGGAAGGGCAGGTCAGGGACCACCATCCCAGCACTCACCTGACTCCTGATCTGCCGATGCATCAGGTCTCTCTTCACCTGGAGGGCCTCAAATGCAGCCTTCTGCATAGCACTCTGCAAACAGAACACAGGATGCTAAGAAAGCCCGCACCCCTCTCCCTGCAGCCCCATCAGGGAAGAAGCAAAAGCAGAATACAGAATACCTTAATGTACGGTTTCTCTGGGTCTGAGAGATGGACAGAAATAACTTTTCCTTTTTTTTTTTTTTTTGAAACAGAATCTCACTCTGTTGCACAGGCTAGAGTGCTGTGGCATCAGCCTAGCTTGCAGCAACCTCAGACTCTTGGGTTCAAATGATTCTCTTGCCTCAGCCTACCCAGCAATCGGGACTACAGGTGCCCAACACAACACTCAGCTAATTTTTTCTATTTTTAGTAGAGACAGGCCTCGCTCTTGCTCAAGCTGGTCTCAAACTCCTGAACTCAAGCAATCTACCTGCCTCAGCCTCCCAGAGTGCTAGGATTACAGGGGTGAGCCATTGTGCCTAGCCTAACTTCACCTCACTTATTTAAATCTTAAAAGGACATGAGTTCACTGTGGGCTGGACATTGCGCAGCCCTCTACCTGAATTGTGGCCTGAATTTCCACCACAGTAACAGCCTGGCACTTTCAGTGCCGTTTCACAAAGGAGGGAAGTTAGTCTTGGAGATGTGAATGGCTGGTGCTGGGACATGCACCAAGTCTACCTAGACGCTGAGCCTCACCGTCTCTGAGAGGCAAAGAATCTTCCTCAGTCAAGTGTCAAACCATTCTAGAACAGAGATTGCAATCTGGCAGAAGGGGAGGGGAGATGGGCTGGGCAAGGCAGGACAACACACACATGGAGGGGTAAGGGAGAGGGGGGAGGGAGATGTCCATGGGCTGCAGGGACAAGGCTGAATGGAATAATATGGAGCCAGAAGGGGAAGAGGTCAAGGGGTCCTTGGTTTCCTCCACTTGAGGGCTCTACCCTGCACCTGCTAAGCACCAGCATAGGCGGAAGAGCAGAGGATGGGACATGAAAAGAGTTCAGAAGTCCCACAGCGTTCTCCGTGGCTTGGCTTATGTGGTGTGACATCATCACCATGGTCCCTTAAGCCCCCTCAGGGAACAGGAGAAGTGCATCTCTAGATTTCAGTGCCCACTGCCTACCCTTGGCCCCCTCCCCCCAGCCTGAAGAATTATTATTATTATTTTTTTTTTGAGACAGAGCCTCAAACTGTCCCCCTGGGTAGAGTGCCATGGCATCACAGCTCACAGCAACCTCCAACTCCTGGGCTCAAGTGAGTCTCCTGCCTCAGCCTCCCAAGTAGCTGGGACCACAGCGCCTAGATATTTTTTGGTTGCAGCCATCATTGTTGTTTGGCGGGCCTGGGCTGTATTTGAACCTGCCACCTTTGGTGTATGTGGCTGGCACCTTAGCCACTTGAGCCACAGGCGCCAAGCCCAGCCTGGAGAATTATATATTTCTTTTTTGAGACAGAATCTCACTATGTTGCCCTTGGTAGAGTGCAGTGGTGTCACAGCTCACAGCAACCTCAAACTCTTGGGCTTAAGTGATTCTCTTGCCTCAGCCTGTCAAGTAGCTGGGACTATAGGCACCTGCCACAATGCCTGACTATTTTTGTTACTGTTGCTGCAGTTATCACTGTTGTTTAGCAGGCTTAGGCCAGGTTTGAACCCACCAGCCCCAGTGCATGTGACTGGTAGCCTAGCCGCTGAGCTACAGGAGCTGAGCCAGAATTGTATATTTCTAGGGGGGGCTAAGCCACTTGGGTCTTTCATACTGCCTGGTACGGGACCCCATGTGAAGCTCTGATGCTTGGCCCTGCCTCCCGTGCACCCCATCTAGGCCCTCCTATGTGCTTAGCGAGGCCTCACCTCCTGCAGGATCTGGCTGATGGCTCGGCTCTGATCCATCTGCTGCCATGACAGAATCTGCTGGAACCGCTCATCCATTTCAGCCATGCTACCAGAAAGACAGCAATTCATTCATTCTCAGAATATTTCCTGAGCACCTATTATGTCACCTTGGAGGGGACCAAGATAACCATTTATTTATTCAACAATACTAGTGGGATGCCTGCTGGGAGCCAAGCCCTGGGCATGGCCTCAGAAGGTAGGTGAGCAGGATGAGAGATGGGAGAGAAAATCTCCCAGGTCCTCTTATTGGACCCTCATTGGAATCCCCTGCACTGTCGCCCCCTGAGGGGGACACCTGGCTTCTGCCCAGCCACCTCCGTGGATGGAGAACCCATGACCCCCAGGTGAGCCACTAGAGCAGTGATTTTCACTCGGAGTGCTATGAGTGGATCTTAGTGTGCCTCCAAAAATTTTAAAGATCATTAGTTATTTTCAAAAGAAGTTCAAAGCACAGTAAATATATTCTTTTTCTTTTTTACTCTTCTTTTGGATAAACATAATTTAAGTGTGCTGTGAAAGTTTAACTATAGGTTCAAGTGTGCTATGAGATAAAAAATGTTGAAAAACACTGACCAAGAGAGTCAAAGTGGCACAGCTGTCCTTCCCAGCATTCCTGCCCTGGCCTGGAGCAGCTCTCAGCCCTCCACACAGGCTGGTGACTTTGGCATAAGGATATACACTGTCACGTATGTATGTCCATGTTTTGGTATAATCTTGATTTTGTAATAGTAGCAGTTATTTTCTTTCTTTTCTTTTTTTTTTTTTTTTTAGAGACAGAGTTTCAGTTTGTCACCCTCGGTAGAGTGCTGTGGCGTCACAGCTCGCAGCAACCTCCAGCTCCTGGGCT